CGAGGATGGCCATCACATTCTCCTCGACGCCGCCATCGGCGGCGGCGGCGGCGGGCTGCTCCCGGGAGGGCGGCATATTTTGGAGGGTTTGGCGGTTTCTCTCGGCGGGAGCCCGTCGGAGAGGCGGGAAATAAGGTCTCGTGGTGCTAGTGCCGAGGTGATGAGATGACTCCTTTCGTCTTTGGTTCTATCTCAGGATGTATAGCTTATTTCATCTTTCGTTTTTTAACCTAGTTCAAACTAACCGGACGTGAATTTGTATCCTCAAACATCCATCTTCATCGCAAAAAAACCTGTTGTGATTGGATGGTTAAAAGGACGGTGGTACGCCAAGTCCATCAGAATTTAAATCCTAGATTTGACATTCCCGTCGACTACAAGGCGCCGTATCGTTTAAATAAATATTTAAACAAGAGTTTTTCGATGAAGGATTTAGGAGAAGCTGCTCTCATATTAGGCATCAAGATCTATAAAGATAGATCGAGATGCTTGATATGACTATCACAAAGCACATATCTTGATAAAGTTTTGAAAATTTCAAAATAAATCAGTCCAAGAATGGGTCTTGCCTGTTTTGCAAGGTGTGAAGTTGAGTAAGACTCAATACCCAGCGACTACAGAGGATATAGAAAAGATGAGTGACATCCCCTATGCTCCTGCCATAGACTCTATCTTGTATGTGATGTTGTGCACAAGACCAGATGTCAGCCTTGACATAAGCATTGCCGGAAGGTTTCAAAGTGATCCGGGGGTAGAACACTGGACAACGATCAAGAATATCCTTAAGTACCTGAAAAGTACTAAGAAAATGTTTGTCGTTTATGAAGGTGATCAAGAGCTCGTCGTAAAGGATTACGTCAATGCAAGTTTTGACACTTATCCAGATGACTCTAAATCTCAAACCGGATACGTGTATATTCTAAACGGGGAAGCAGTAAGCTCGTGCAGTTTCAAGCAAAGCGTGGTAGCCTTGACATAGTTGCCTCGGAGGCAGCGAAGAAAAGTGTCCGGATGAAGAAATTCATGACAAATCTTGGAGTTGTGCCCAATGCACTGAACCCAATGACTCTGTTCTATGACAATATTGGTGCCATTGCTCTGGCCAATGAACCAAGGTTTCACAAGAGGACCGGACACATAAAGTGATGCTTCAATTCCATTCACAATGCGATCAAGGAGGAGGACATGAACATTTGCAAAGTACATACGGATCTGAATGTTGCGGATCCATTGACTAAACTTATCCCACGGGCAAAACATGATCGACACCAGGACTCTATGGGTGTTAGATTCATTATCATGTAATGCTAGATTATTGACTCTAGTACAAGTGAGAGACTATTGGAAATATGCCCTAAAGGCAATAATAAAATGGTTATTATTATATTTCCTTGTTCATGATAATCGTTTATTATCCATGCTATAATCGTATTGACTGGAAGCTCAAATACATGTGTGGATACATAGACAACAAACATGTCCCTAGTGAGCCTCTACCGAACTAGCTCGTTGATCAAAGATGACTATGGTTTCTAGTCATAGACATGAGTTATCATTTGATAACAGAATTACATCAATATGAGAATGTTGTGATGGACAAGATCCAAACTATAGATGTGGCATATGATTGTATCATGTTTATTGTTATCGCTTTCATCATGTCAAGTATCTGTTCCTTAAACCATGAGATCGTGCAACTCCGTGACACCGGAGGAATACTTAGTGTGTATCAAACGCCGCAACATAACTGGGTGACTATAAAGATGCTCTACAGGTATCTCCGAGGGTGTCTGTTGAGTTGGCATGGATCAAGGCTGGGATTTGTCACTCCGTATAACGGAGAGGTATCTCAGGGCCCTCTCGGTAATACAACAACACAAGAATCTTGCAAGCATGTGACTAATGAGTTTGGTCACGGGATCTTGTATTACCGAACGAGTAAAGAGACTTGTCGGTAATGAGATTGAACTAGGTATGGAGATACCGATGATCGAATCTCGGGCAAGTAACATATCGCCGGACAAAGGGAATTGTATACGGGATTAACTGAATCCTTGACATCGTGGTTCAACCGATAAAGATCTTCGTGGAATATGTAGGAATCAATATGGGCATCCAGGTCCTGCTATTGGTTATTGATCGGAGAGGAGTCTCGGTCATGTCTACATGATTCTCGAACCCGTATGGTCGCACGCTTAACGTTCGGTAGTGCTAGGGTAGTATTGAGCTATTAACAGTAGAAGATTCAAAGGTTGTTCCATCCGGGACATCACGAGGAGCTCCGAAATAGTTCAGATGTAAAGATTCATATATGGAAAATTGTTATCGGGGTTTCTAAAAAAGTTCGAGGTTTTTCGGTATTGTACCGGGAAGGTTCTAGAAGGTTCCAAAGTGGGGCCCGCCTGCATGGGGGCCCACATGAATGTGGGTAGTGTGGAAAGTACACACAACCCTGGTCTAAATGCACCAAGATCCTCCCTTAAAAGGAATAATGTCATATCCCAAGAGGATAAGATCAGGACCCCTAAAAAAGGGGATAGCGGTCGGTGGGAAAGGAAAGGTGGGATTTCCTCCCTCCCCTTTGGCCAACGACCCTAGGGCCTTGGAGGGAGAGCCACCAGCCCCCTCCATGCTTATATAAAGGTGGGGAGGCGTTGGGGGCAGCCATCCTTCGACCCTTGCCCATCACCTCTCCCAACTCCTCTCACGTTTCACCGGTACATGCTTGGCGAAGCCCTGCCAGAATTCCGCTACCACCACCACCATACCGTCGTTGGTCGTGATCTCATCTACCCTATTATAGGGTGAAACCCTAAGATGGATCTTTTCACGCTTGGAGGGGGGAAGGGATGA